CTGTAATGCAGACACCAGCCTGCTGTGCTGGTCTCTCTTCTCATCCCCAAAGTCATGCAGACAAGCAGCAGCCCTCTCACTGTCCACTCCAGTGTCCTGTCATCAAACCACAGCAGCACCTCTGATTCCCTCCTCTGGCCTTCTCCTCGCTCCTCTCTCCTCTCCTCTCCTCTCCTTCCTCTGCCCTCCCCTCCTTCTTTTGCCTTCCCCCTCCTCCTGCTTCCTCTTCCACGCCCTTCCCCCTCCTTTTTGCTCCTCTCCACTCTTCTCTCTTGCTCTGGGAAGGGCCTCTGCCTACCCAGCTAATAACCACAGCAGGAGCCTCTGGGCTCCTACTCCAGCTGTTTCCATGGACAAGGGCCCAACACAAACATGGATGCTGCAGCTCCCCTGCCAGCCCAGGACCCCCCACAGCACAGGGTTGGTGGGCAGATGAGGTCATTGCCACAGGGGCGGTAGGGAGAGGAGTACGGATATTTGTTTGGTCTTGTTACCATGGAAACCTGCTAGACCCCTCCTCCACTCCACTCAGTTTGCTGGTTCAGAGGACTAAGCTGCCCCAGGCCCCTAGCTCCATCTCCCACCCTGGCCTGGCCCCACCCAGACCCAGGGCTGCCAGGGAGCAGCCATAACGGTCAGCCCCACCTCCAAAGAGTGGGGAAAGTGAGGCCTGGGAACCAGGCAGACCAAAACACTTGTCCCCAGACAAGTCTCCCTCTGTTATTGTCATAATTAGATAGTTTATTAATATTAATAATAGGAAATGAGCAAAGGGAAGGCCAGACATTATAAGCATGATCATCTGGGCAGCTTTACCAGGAAGCTACAACTTCATGCTCCCCAGGGAACCACCAGTCCCTTCCCTGCAGATAATGGGAAAGGGATTGAACAAAAGGGGAAATGGACACATGTACAGTGAAGCTGGGGTGATGTAGGGTAAGGGGTTGCCTGTCAGTCTAGCCTGGGGAACAATGGATTGGCCCATCAGAAGCACATGAAATCTTGGAAAGTTGGTTGGTCAGTATAAAGAAGCTCCTGGGCTGCCTCCACACCTGCAAATGGTAACCAAGGCCAATCAGAAACCCCTCTGAGCAGCCTCCTAACCTGAGCCCTGAGCCCTGAGCCCTGCAGGCTCCTCTTCTTTTTCTCCTCACCCCACGGGGCCTTGCCCGTAAGCTGCAGGTACACCCTGTCCTCTAGAACTTCTTGAGGCCTCTTGCCTGCTCCCCCACAGACAGGAAGCAGTCTCCTAGGGGTCTCTGCCCACCAGGCAAAATGTGGTTGGACAAGGCAGGTCTTCCCTACCTGAGGTGCTGGGCCAAGCCAGCAGCAGCTTTTCAGATAGAGGAGACCAGAGATGGGGCAGAAGGCCACAGTCACAGGGCAAGGCGAGTGGCCAGAAAGAACAGCAACAGCCGCCCTAACCGGTTTGGCTCAGTGGATAGAGCGTCAGCCTGCGGAGTGAAGGGTCCCAGGTTCGATTCTGGCCAGGGGCATGTACCTTGGTTGCGGGCACATCCCCAGTAGGAGGTGTACAAGAGGCAGCTGATCGATGTTTCTCTCTCATCGATGTTTCTAACTCTCTATCCCTCTCTCTTCCTCTCTGTAAAAAATCAATAAAATATATATTTAAAAAATGCTGAAGTATTTAAAAAAAAAAAAAGAACAGCAACAGCCCAGCACTTCATCCTCACAGTACACACACACACACACACACACACACACACACAAGCGGATGCATGGACCCAGCCCCCCCACATGCTCACACACATGCACACACACAGACACAGAAACACTCAAAACTAGCCAGATGCACAGGGCAGAACAACCACACTCAGGACCCCAGGATCCAAGGAAGACCCAGGTGTCCAGAAAGGGCTCCTGGGCAGGGGGGGCACATGCCCAGGCAGGAGGAGGGTGGACCCTGGTGGAGGCTCTGCACCAGCCTGTGCTACCCAGAAGCCCTGCTCCCTTCAGAAGCCTGGCCCCTGCCCTCTCACACTGGGTTGATTTCAGCTACAGTTTCGGCCACAATTGCCTAGGAAGAATGGCCCCATTCAAGCTGCCTGCTCCCTATGCCCAGGCAGCTCACAACCCCCTCCCACCAGGCACAGAGACCTGAGACCCCCACTCAGGAGGAAGCTTTGGTCTTACAATGTGCAATGAGGAGGAGCTGACCCCTACGTATCCCCCAAGTGGTGGGATGCCCCAAGCCCCCCTCCACCCTGCTGCCCACTGCCCATCCCTCATCCACAGAGCCCATGCCCAGCTGAGGGACCTCACAGGGCTGCCTAGTGGCCTTCAGTTTGGCAAAGATCTGTGCCAGGAAGTGCACCTCGGGCTCCTCATGGCAGTGTCCCTGGTCCGGGGGGGGGGTGCTGCCACCCTCTCCCTGGGCATGGATATTAGGAGGTTAACCCCACATTTTTCTCTGGGGGATTTAGCAGGTTCACATGGGACTGGAGATGGCCTGCCACCGAGGGTCCAGCAGGACACAGCACAGCTTTGGGGGAACACATGAGGTAGTTCGAGGGAAGACAGAGACCAGCAGTGAGGCTGAAGGGGCCTGGGGACTAGGGACCAATGAGGGTTGTGTGTTGTGCCCAGAGAACCCCAGACTTAGAGCAGGTGAACAGATGGACCAATGGGCCCTGTTGGGGACCCACTGCTGTAAGGAGCTGTGAGGAACCTGCTTCTGGAAGAGGCTGCAGCCTCAGAGCAGGAGGGAGAGCAGGGCCACAGCAGGCATCCTGAGAGCAGGCTAAACGCACCCCACCCCCAAACACTCCTGGGGAAGGGAGGAGGCAGGGGCAGGTGCCCAGTGTGCTGGAGGTGGACTACACCCCCAGCATTCTGGAGGCCTCTCCCCACTGACCAACAAAGGACATGGGCCTTGAAGTATGGAGGGAAGGTTTGCCCAAGAAACTGCAGCCTTGTTTCCTAATGATCAAGAGAAGGAGGTGTGTGTCCTGCCCTGCCTGCCCACCCGGCGGAGAGCTCAGACCTCCTAGCCAGGGCCTGCCCTCACCCAGCACTCCATGATTGCCATGGGTAGAGCTGTGTCCCCCAAAATTCACATCCACTTGAAACAGTGTGGGACCTTAGTTGGAAATGGGGCCTCTGCAGATGTACTTAATGATCTCCAGCTTTGGGGAAACAAGGGTCTCAAGGCTCAGTCACCAGCTTGAGGCTATGCTAAGCATTGACAGTGGGCAAGCTGAACATTGCTGGGCTCCTGGGACCCCAGTGACGGCAATGTGAGAGGGACCATGCAGCCACTCAGTGACCAAGGATCCCAGATAAGGTCTCTGCACCTGAGAGCTGTGGCCTCTCCAGTTATGACCACAAATAAACCACCATCCCAAATATGGGTCCCGCTGTGCTGTGCTTGGGCTTCAAAAACACTCAGCTCCCTCCACACTCTCACATCAGGATCCACTGAAACAAGTTTTCATGTTCCTACCTCAACTCTTCTCTGTCCTGCCCAAGTCCCTACTTATTACGTGTACCGGTTAATAATGCGGATTTTTTTCAATAGATGGAGTTACACATGTTGATATATATGCGATTTGATACGTATGCTATTTTGTTGTATTGACAGCAAGCTTGAAAACTTCATATGTCAAATTTGCTGAAGGTGTTAACATCATAGATATTTTTACGCTTAAAAATGTCGAATTTCGTGCCAAAAAAAGAGGATTTGTGGGAAGTTTTAATTCGTTACTTTATTTTGAAGAAAAGTGCCGCTGAGAGTTATTGTATACTTCGGGAAGCTTATGGTGAACATGCTCCATCTCAAGATACTTGTGAACGCTGGTTTAAATGCTTTAAAAGTGTTTATTTCAATGTGAAAGACAAAGAACATCCAGGTCAACCAAAAAAGTTTGAAGACCAACAATTATAAGCATTATTGGATGAAGATGCATACCAAACTCAAAAACAACTTGCAGAAATTGTTGCTCAGCAAACAATTTCCAGTCATTTAGAAGCAATGGGAGAGATTGTAAAGGAAGGAAAATGGGTGCCACATCAACTGAATGAAAGACAAATGGAAAACTGAAAAGTCATCAGTAAAATGTTGCTTCAACGGCATGAAAGTCTTTTTTGCATCGAATTGTGACTGGCGATGAAAAGTGGATTTATTTTGAGAATCCCAAATGCACAAAATCATGGGTTGATCCAGGTCAACCATTAACATCGACTGCAAGGCCAAATCACTTCAGAAAGAAGACAATGCTCTGCGTTTGGTGGGATCAGGAAGGTGTGGTGTATTATGAGCTTCTAAAACCAGGTGAAACCGTTAACACTGATTGCTACCGACAACAAATAACAATTTGAACCACACTCTGATCATAAAACAACCAGAATGTGCCAGAAGACACGGCAAAGTAATTTTGCTTCATGATGACGCACCATCACACACTTCAAAACCAGTTAAAAACACGTTAAAAGATCTTGCCTGGGAAGTATTAACCCACCCGCCGTATTCACCAGACCTTGCTCCTTCAGATTACCACTTGTTCCAATCAATGGCACACGCACTTTCTGAGCAGCACTTCAAAACATACGAAGAAGTGGAAAATTGGGTCTCTGAATGGTTTGCCTCAAAACAAGAAAAGTTCTATTGGGACGGTATCCACAAATTACCTGAAAGATGGGGGAAATGTGTAGCTAGCAATGGACATTACTTTGAATAAAGCACTTTTGATGTTTCTCTTGAAATTATCGTGTTTTCTTTGATTACAAAATCTGCATTATTAACCAGTACAATAATCTGCATTATTAACCCTCCTCCCTCAGCCACTCCTCCCTCAACCCTCCTCCCTAAACCCTCCTCCCTGGGCCCTCTTTCGTCAAGCCCTCCTCCCTCAGTCCCTCCTCCCTCAGCCACTCCTCCCTCAGGCCCCCCTCCCTCACATCCTTCTCCCCCATACCTCATCTCAGGCCCTCCACCCATAGGCTCATCATAACTACTCTGAAGTCATCGGACTGAGTCGGGCTATAATTTAAAATACGTTTATTTAGTGTTTCCATTTGTTTCTGATTGTGTTACACAAAGCCGTTAAATAAATACATTCTCCTAGTCACTCGAGTACACACCTACTCACTATATAGATGAGGTAGAGAAGTGGGTAGGCTGGCGGGAGAGCCTGAACACAGAGGAGTCAAGTGTGAATGCCCCTCCTCCCAACCTCCGGACTGGCTGAGCCTGCCCGGAACCCACATTCGAGGACCTGGTGGGGAGCAGGTGGCCGGGACCCGCCTGGCCCTCAGCATGGCTGCCCACCCCGCAGCTCCTAGAGAGGCTGACCCCGGGGCCCTGGCCCCACTGCAGACACGTTGCCTTCAGAGACCCTCCTGCCACATGAAAGAGAAGCACGTTTAGGAGAGACTCCATCCGAGGGAGTTGCTTCTTTGTTTAGCAAGACATTCTGATATATATTTATATATGAACAAGCCAGCCAGCAGACATTTTCAGTCTGCCTTGTTTTAAAAAATACTTTTCTTAATATTTATGACAAAAATAGCTAAATGTGGTATTTAATTTAAAAAATATATATCCTTCTTTTGACTTGCCACCTTTCCAGACCCAGTAGTGACTGGCTACAGTCTTGTCGTGGGAGCGTGCCGCTCCACCTGCTCTGGGCCCAGCGGGCAGGGATGCATGGGGATGACCAGGAGGCACCCCAGCTCACCCCCTAGCCAGCCAGGCCTGCAGAGATGAGGGGCAGGTCCACATCTCCTGCCACTGAGGAGCCCACCTGGCTCCCTTCCAGGATGGGCCTCCACAGCAGTTATTCACGGTGTGTTCTCTGAACCACAGGAGAATAAACTTTACTATTTACACTATAAAACAGGAACAAAGAGACCCACATCAACATAAATAGGTTTTCTTTTAAAAACACAGTTCCCTGGGGTTCCTGGAGCCCCTGGGACTCCAAGGAATGCCCTAGCTCAGTAGTTCCTGCTTCCACACTGCCTGCACCCTTGGAGCACAGCTGCCAGCTGAGCAGGACAGGCCCAGGGCAGAAGCTCCAGAGCCAAGGCTGCCATTCACGTCAATGTGGGAAGGAGAGGCCCACGCTAAGGAAGGGCACAGGGTGGACCAGGTCACACCCCAACCACCCACAGACCACACCAACATACACACACGGGCACATGCGCACGCACATGCACACATGTACACACATCACCCGTGCTTCCACACATGTGCATACATAATGCATACAGCAGAGGCATGTGCTCAGATGCATACATCCATGTAAGCACGCACACCCATGAACGCACTCATGTATGCATGCATGACATGTGTTTATACACACGTGTGCAGTCATGTATGCATACACATCACACATGCAACTTATACATGCACACACTGCACAATCATGCACACATCACACACAGAGACATACTCAAGCACACATGCACATGTGTGCGCACACTAACACCAAACCAGGTCGGTGTAGGCCATCCTTTACTCCTTCCGGCAAAGACAACAGCATGGCCAAGGAACACAGCCTTCCATTTGCCAAATCCTAGCCCCAAACACACTCCATCACATCTATCCCACCCTGCTTCCCCCACAATGACACAGAGCAAGCTGTGCCTTCCTTGTGAAATAAACACTCCAAGGGGCTGGCCCTGCCCCTCTGCCCATGCATACCCCTTGGGGAAGGCAGGCCAGCCTTGCCACCCCAGGCTCCAAAATCTGCATTTAGGGGCTGGAGTGCAGGACCGTGTGCCCACATGCTCGCTTCCCAGGATGGCTTCCCTGGGGGCAGCAGCCTGGACCTGACTTCCAGAAGCCCTGAGGGAGGTGGCCAGACACATCTCGCTTTAATTCTTAGAGCAACGACAGCAACGTCTCTCTTGACTTAGTGGTTTCAAACACAAAGCAGATAAGGCAAATAAAAAAAGGAGAGGGGGGAGGAGAGAGGAAGGGGGCCCAGCAGACTGGGAGAGCCACAGCCTGGAACATAATGGGGACAAAGAAAATAATTATTATATATTAGTTAAATTAAAATAAGTTAAAAGTCACTGATATTACTCCAGAGAGAAGTGCTTGATGTCAGAGGGAGCAGCAGCGCCTCCCCCTCACTGGCCGTCCCTCTCCTAGTGGTTTGACTCTAACCAGAGCTGGTGGAGGGCAGCCAACAGGCTGCCACAGAGGCCCTGTGTGGTCATGAAGGTGCACCCATGCTCCTCAGAGGGAGCCCAAGTGGTGAGGGGCACTGAGACACAGGAACTGGACTCTTAAGGACAAAAAGCATCAGTGCAATGCTGTCGGGTTCCGGGGCGGGAAAAGCAGAGGGTATGCAGAGGTCAGACCAGGCTGGGCTCCTGCCCCCACCTCATGCCCAAATGTGCTGGGAGCACCTAGCCCAGGGCTCAGTCTGCAAGTGTAGATGCCTCTGCTGCACACGCTGCCTGCACCCCCACAGCAGCCTGGCCACCTGGCACTAGCCCTTGCAGGTGTAGACCTCCTCCCGCTGTGTGCACTGCCTGCACTCCACGTAGCAGCACCAGCGCACCTGGCACTGGCAGGGCCGTGTCACCACTCGGCTCTGTGTGTTGTGGCCTCGCCCACAGCAGATGCTCTCGCAGTTCTTCTCGCGATGGCACCTGCGGCCAGCAGTGCCTGGGGAGAAGCGGCCGGCCAGGCAGAAACTGGGCGAGTCATCCAGGTGCACAAGCTCTGGTGTATGGGGTAGCGGGTCACCACCTGTGCCCGAGGCCCGGCCCCTGGGTGGTGAAATGGCGCCTGCCTCACCAGCAGCCTCGTTGGTGGTGCTGCCCACCTTGAGCGCTGTCTCATACTTGTACTTCAGGCGCTTGCCCACCTCATGGAAGGGTGCCAGCTGCCGCCAGCACGTCCGCACAGTACAGGAACCTGACACACCATGGCACTTGCACGTGGTCTCCACCCCAGCCTTGATCACCTGGAGAGAGAGAGAGAGATGTGAGCATGTGGGCCACACCTGGCAGAAGAGACCAGACCCCACAAATCACCCCAAAAGGGGCTGAAACTGGCACCCACCCTAGGACCAAACCCTTTGGCCCCCAAACCCAGGCTCCCTGGCTTACATACCCATCCCACTGCCTTCAAGCCACAAACCACCTAGTACAGAAATCCTATGGCCAGCAGCATGGCCTCCAGAGCAGCCACCACAGCACCTGTGGCCCTGTGGAGACACTCCCTTCCTGCCCAGATGTTCTTCCCTGTGTCTAGGGCTGCCCCTACACGGGCAAGGCAAGCCACCCTCCAGCCCCACCAGCAGCACCCTATCAGTCTACTCTCTGGAGTGCTGCACACCCAATGGGCAGGACTGGCCACTGGTGTCTATAACTCAGCTGACCACGTCCCTGCCTGAGCATTGGGACCTGGTACTACTGCACATATGGGTGCCACCCAACCAACACAGAAGTGAAAGCAGCTGGCCAGGGCAGGAGCAGGTGTGGCTCAGCATCAAGCTGTGTTCAGACTCTGGGAAGCTTCCCAAGACCCAGACCGGGTCCTTCCACTTCCAGGACTTGGGTGTCACCTGAAAAGTCAGGAAGTCAGGCCAGCGGCCCCACTGAGCCTTCTGCCAGACTGCCCACACAGGGGTCCCTGGAGGGATGTGGAGAGGAAGGGCAGGGAAGCCCTCCCAGTGGCCCAAGCCAGGTGTGAGCTCCCAGGGAGGGCCACCTGAGGGGATTAAGAAACAGCTACTCCTTGGCCACATAATGATACTTTGCTGAGAAACATGACAAATTTAATTAGAACACTACTTACCCAGGCCTGAAGCTAATGGAGCACTTTCATATTCTGACTTTTCATTTATAGCTTACAAAAGGCAAGTACAAAGGAAAAGAAAAGGGCTTGCCTGAAGGAATTAATCTCCCCACAACCTCCCCAGAGGACTGAAGGAGGGAAGGAGCTCCCATCCATGACTCAGAACTCAGCTAGTCAATAAAGAGGCTCAAAGTAGGCTGGCTCTAATTACATCCCCCCAGGCCTGGGCTCCACATTCCTGGTAGTCCCCTGCCAGTCCCAGGCAATGGCTGAGCCTGGGGGGCATTTGGTGGCCCAGGTTGCTGGGGACCTAAGGGGACAGGGCTCCAACCACAGTTAGGACTACAGGTACAGGCCTGATGCCTACACCAATGTTGAGGACCCAAGAGCCAAGGGACTGCAGAAAGGGTGAAGAGTGGCAGGAGCGAGGTCCCCCCAGGCCCAGTCATACTTGCAGCCCGCAGCCCCAGAAGGGCCCAGCCAAAACGCTAAGATACTCCTTTTCCTGAGTCTTCTGAGCTGAGTTCCTCAGAAAAGAGTCCTGGCCACAGATGAGAACCCTAAGCAGAGACACTCCCCAACACACACTTGGACCAGCTGCACCCAGGCCTTCCCTGGGACAGTCCCCAGACTGCCTCCACCTAGGTCCCTAGCAACAAGACCACATGCTCCTCAGCCCTGGCAGGCAGGGCTCCCAATCTGCCATCCTCTTGGATAGATGCTACCCATCGCAGAGATCCTCCTGGTGGCCTTGACACCCAGGGCCAGACACAGATGGCCCCATACCCACCTGGCTCCTCCCCAACCAGTAGAAAACCCCTTCCTGGTCCCCCGTTTTTTACCTCTCTAGGAGGGACCACCACCACCACCACTACCCCATGGCACCCCATCCACACGGGCACGCAGGTCCTTGCTCGACCGCCGGCCCAGGAACTCCTTGACGAACTTGCTGCTGTACTTAAGGTTGTCTCCGCAGCCACCCCACTGCCAGGCCTCCCGGTTCTCCAGGTCAGGGGCTTCATCACAGGTACAGCGCTCCATGCGGCCTGCACTGCAGGCCTTGGCCAGAGCGTGGGTCAGGCCAGCTGAGGAGATGGCGTAGAGGAAGGCAGTCTCCTTGAAGCCTGGGG